TTTAAAATACCAGTGTTTTTTCATAATATGAAAAATTATGATGGACATTTAATTATTCAAAATGCTGATAAGTTAAGTAATCAGAAGAAAATAGATGTAATAGCACAGAACAGTGAAAAGTTTATTAATATCGGTTTTGATTGTTTAAGTGTTAAGGACAGTTTTAGTTTTATAACTGCTTCTTTAGATAAATTAGTATCATTGACAAAATATGACAACACAGATGATAAAGATAAAAGAAAATGGATAATAAAAGACAACTGGCAGAACAATTTCAGATTTAGTAAAAATAATGATATTATTAAAAGTGAAAAATGTTTGGACTTATTAACAGAGAAGGGAGTTTATCCGTATGACTATATGAATTCAATAGAAAAGTTTGAAGATGAAAGTCTACCAACTAAAGATATGTTTTACAGTAGGTTAAGTGAGGATAATATAACGGATGAAGACTATGAAAAAGCAAAAGTAATATGGAAACACTTTAAGATTAAAAACATGGGTGAATATCACGATTTGTATTTGAAAACAGATGTTTTATTATTAACTGATATTTTTGAAAATTTTAGAGATGTATGTATTCAAGATTACGGTTTAGATCCAGTATATTATTACACACTGCCTAATTTTGCTTTTGATGCTATGTTAAAATTAACTGGTGTTGAAATAGATTTAGTTTATGACCAAGATATGTATGAAATGATAGAGACCGGACTTCGTGGTGGGATGACACAGACTGCCTGTAAGAAAGTAGAGGCAAATAATATTTATATGGGCGATGATTTTGATGAAAGCAAAGAAAGTAGTTATATTAACTATTGTGATGCTAATAACTTATATGGATTAGCAATGATACAAAAACTGCCATACAAAAAATTAAAGTGGGATACTAAAATAACAGAAGATGATATTTTAAACTATGCTAATGGTAATACTGGATACATCTTAGAAGTTGATTTAGAATACCCTAAAGAACTGCATGATTTACACAATGACTATCCAATGGCACCTGAAATTATGAATGTTAAAGCAGATATGTTATCAGATAAACAAGTTGAAATTTATGAAATACTGAATAAGAAAAAACCTAAAGATGAAAAAACAAATAAATTAATATTGAATTTAAAAGACAAAGAAAAGTATGTAGTCCATATTAGAACTTTACAGTTTTATTTAAAACACGGATTGAAACTAAAGAAAATACACAGAGCAATAAAATTCAGTCAGAAAGAGATATTAAAACCTTACATTGAATTTAACACTGAGAAAAGAAAGAATGCCAACAATGATTTTGAGAAAGATGTTTACAAATTAATGAATAATGCCGTGTTCGGAAAAACGATGGAAGACAAAAGGAAACACTTAGATTTTGAAATAGTGAGTGATGAAACAAGATTTATGAAATGTGTTAATAATCCATCATTTAAACATAGTCATATTATCAGCGATAATTTAGTAGGAGTTGAGAAACAAAAAGCACAATTGAAATTAGATAAACCTATATTCATTGGAATGAGTATTTTAGATTTGAGTAAGCAACATATGTATAAGTTTTATTATGATGTTATGAAACCTAAATACGGAGATAATATTAGAATGGTTTATACTGACACTGATAGTTTTGTATTTCATACTAAGACTGATGACATTTATAAAGATCTTCATGATATTAAAGATGAAATGGATTTTTCAGATTATCCTATTTATCATAAATGCTATGATACTACTAATAAAAAGACGTTGGGTAAATTTAAGGATGAATGCAGTAGCAAAATTATTACAGGGTTTATTGGACTTCGTCCTAAGTGTTACGCTTTTCAAATCTATGGAGAAGAAAAAGAACATAAGAAATGCAAGGGCACAGCAAAGCACATAGTGAGGAGGCAACTGACATATAAAGAATATGATAAGGTTTTACAAACTAATGAAGTTATACATAAATCATTCAATAGTATTAGAAGTAAAAACCATAAAATTTATAGTATTAGAACAACAAAGATTAGTTTGAATAGTTATGAAAATAAAAGATACTGGACTAATACAGGTGATAGTTTAGCATATGGTCATTATTCTATTGAAAATGGAATAATATGATGACATAGTCATCACTGGAGAATTAAAGAGATGATGACTTAATGTAGTAATGAAGATACACGCAGAAATAAAAGAACGAATAGAATTAATAAAAGAAATGATAAAGGTAAAAGAACACTATGAAGGTGAAAGAGATAAATATGCTTTGCTAGATGTTAAATACTTTAAAACTAACAAGAAAGACTTTTATGAAGGGTTTAAATCATGCCTTGAATTAGAGCATGATGAGACGCAGTTGAAAAAAGATTTCAATGAATTAATAAAAACTTGTGAATTAGCAGGTGAAAGTTCCGTAAATTATGTGTTTAGTTTTGACGGAGTGGTCAGAGGATATGAAAGACTTATAGAAATACAAAAACAAAAAATATCTCGTGTACTTCGTTAAAAATGACTTAAGGAAATAATGACTCATTATATTCTAGTGAAATGTTGTTTAACTATAACAAGTGCGAATGCTGTAAAAATACAAAGAATGATGTTAATATAACATTGTATAAGTTATTACCCGACAATCTATGTAATAAAGTAAGTGAATATAATGTATATTGCAATCAATGCTGTATAACAAGAGACCTTGAACAGTTTTTTGTTGAAGAACATAAGGATAAGGGATATACAAAGTTTCAATTACAATTAAAATTCTTCATGCGACACCAAGCAAGATTTCCTATACACTTTTACCAGAAGATTTCCAGAAAGTCATTTGAAAATGAAATTGATGAATTCTTTAGTAATATAGATTTAATTAGGAGGTTTGGAGGAATAAACGCAATTAAACCATATAAAGCATTTGTCAAAAAATACCGTTATTTGTTTCAATGGATTGACTGGCATTTATTAGACAAAGATAAAATAAATGAAGTCTTGAACGGATTTAGAGTAACTGAATATAGTATATGGTATTACTACAACACTAAATATAAAGTATGTCTATTAGTTAATTTGTTTTTCTGGGAATATATTTATTCAATAATAGGAAAAGACAATATCAAATATATAGATGAAGATGATATAGGTAAATATGTAGATTACATATTTGAAGACATATTGCCTGACTATTATTTTAATCCATAAACCTTACAATAAAAATAAATTGTAAGATTTATGATTTGTAATATTTTGTTAATAGTTTAAGTTTATATTCATTCTTTGAAAATGACTTAAGGAAATAGTGACTTAATATATTAGTGAGAAAATGAACGGTATTGAAATCAATAAGTATATTAATAAGAAATGCTATGATTGTTGCCACTTCAAAAAAGAAAATATGGAATTGTATAAATTAAATTTACCTAATGGAATAATAAATAATATTATTGATTATTCAATGGGTGAAGAAGATGTATGCGAAAATTGTAAAACCTGGAGAGATAACCAAGCTATAATCAAATGTTTGTTGAGATTAAAAGGAAGACATAATAGAAATGTTGAAGATGACATTTTGATATTTTTAACTGTAAATAAATTACCACCTTATGAATATGTTAAACAGTTTCTTAAAATCAGTAAGAAAAAATATGAAATGATTTATGATATATTAAGGATGTTGTGTCATAGTCAAAAGAAAGGAGATGATATTAAAGAATATATCAAATTTTATATTGAAATTTATAAAAAGTTTAATGTTAAAAACACAGTGAGAGATATTAATATTATTTTTAAAATGATGTATGAAATAAATGAGATTTGTCAATTAAATTATTATCCTGAACTGAAATTATAAATTAACTCATAAACCTTACAATTTAATTTTATTGTAAGATTTATGATTTGTAATATTTTGTTAATAGTTTAAGTTTATATTCATTCTTTGAAAATGACTTAAGGAAATAGCGACTTAATATATTAGTGAGAAAATGAACGGTATTGAAATCAATAAGTATATTGATAAGAAATGCTATGATTGTTGCCACTTTAAAAAGGAAAATATGGAATTGTATAAATTAAATTTACCTAATGGAATAATAAATAATATTATTGATTATGCTTTGGGTGAAGAAGGTGTATGTAGAACTTGTAGAAGATGGAGACGATATCAAAATATAATAAAAAATATGTTGGAGATTAAAAAAATAGATGAAAGAAATGTTGAAGATGACATTTTGATATTTTTAACTGTAAATAAATTACCACCTTACGAATATGTTAAACAGTTTCTTAAAATCAGTAAGAACAAATATACAATGATTGACAGAATATTAAAGATGTTGACTTATTATAGAAGGGACGGGTTTGATGAAAAAGAAGACATTAAATCATATATTGAAAGTGAAAAGTTTAATGTTAAAAATACAGTGAGAGATATTAATATTATTTTTAAAATGATGTATGAAATAAGTGAGATTTGTCAATTAAATTATTATCCTGAACTTAAATTATAAATTACACCATAAACCTTACAATTTAATTTTATTGTAAGATTTATGATTTGGATTTATAGATTTAGTTTCAAGGAATATTGATTATATTTTCAAGGAAGTTTTACTAGTGTAAAGAAAAGCAACATCTTAAAACAAATAAGCATAAAAGAAATTTAGAAATGAAACAGGCAGAAGAAAATTAACATTATTTTTATTAATAAATATTTTACATAAAATTGTATAAGGTTAATATGTAGAATAACTTCTTAACCTTATATAATATTTCAATGAAGTAAAATTATTTTCAAGTAATTAGATAAGGTTAATGAATATTAATAATGTATTAACCTTATTTAATAATTTAATTATAAACCTATATTTTATATTTTGGTAAGTTGTTCTGAAAATTATTTTACTTCATTCAACATCTGTTCTTGTATTTTTTCCCCTACCCAAAGACTCTTGAAAATTGGGTAAGTATTCCATGTTGGGCACAGACCTCTAGAAATTTGTCAGGGAGGTCGTCCCTGGGCCCGAGCCGCTCGCCTTCGCCTCCCTGACGTTCTGCACAGCCTTCCAAGGCCACGAGCAACATGAGCAGGAAAGCTGGGAATGCGTGGCTGGGCTCAACCATCCGTTTCAGGGGGCTGCGCACCGAGTCACACTGCGCCTGCCAAAATGCAGCAAAAGTCCAAAAGAAGGAATTGCTGTGCTTTGCAAAAGCAATCTTCGGATTTCCCGGTTCTGTTGGTGTGATGAGGGCAGCCTGCCCCCACTCAATGCATTTCCGAGGGCTGCGGCCGAAATCAAAACCACACAACACAACCAACACGTCTCAAAGAACGTCAACAATGCAGCCAAGCTGATTTCTATGAACACAATCGAAACAAAACCAAATTTTCCAGCAGGAACACTGCCCATGGACGCAAAGCGGGGGATGCGTGGTTCAGCTCAACAATCCTTTTGTGAGGCTCCACGCTGAGCAAAACCACTGAGTTCCCAGGAACCCCGACAAGGTTGATGAGCGGGGAGAGTGGCGTCAAATATGCTCAGCTTCTGTGGATGTGATCAGGGCAGCCGGCCCCGCTGAAAGCATTTCCGCGGGGGAATCAAAACCACACAAAACGCCCGACGGCACGTCTCAACGTCAGCCGGCAGCAGAAATACATTGTGCACGCTCTAGCAATCTCCTCCATGGTCATGCTGTCGGAACAAAATAAAACCATTGGATTGCATTGTGTTTGCACAAGCAACGACCATGGCAGAAGGGCAGGTCCTGCTATTTACAAAGCAGGCCACTGGAACAGCGGGCTCTCAATATTTGCGGGGTTCCCCCTTAACTTTTTGATGATTGTGCGCGCCACTAACCACTCACACCAAATCAGGCAAATATGAGCGAGTGCGGAGAAAATTGAACACTTGAAAGGATGGAATGGCAGCAAATCGGGCCACTGCCCTTGGATGCACATCCGGAAATGGTTGAGCTCACTGCATCAGAAAGAACATTCACAGCACTTGTGCCTTCAGCAGCAAGGACCCCAATGGGCGCAAAGGCATCAGAGTTTGCCTTCCCCCGACGGCAGAAGGGCGGGTCTTGCTCTTTCAAAAGCAGGCTGGGGGCAAGCGCAAAATCACTCACAACGATCAACGGCACGTCTCAATCAATGTCGACCAGCAGGAATGACCGACCTCCAACAAGGAAAGGCAACCATCCGTTCATGGGGGCTCCATACCGAGCCTGCCAACGACACGAACCGCCGCAATCTGCAAAAATGCTGGGATTTCCTGGTTCTCTGGATGCGATCAGGGCAGCCCCACCAAAACCATGTGCGGGCCGCGCGGGGAATTTCAGAACTGCACGCAACGATCAGAGTCCCAGAACGCAGCCGGCCGGCGGAAGCGCGACTCCGCCCGCCTCGGACTCCTTCGTCCGGCCGCTTGCCTTCGCCGCCTTGACCTCCTTCATCGCCCTCTCCACCTTCCTCTCCGCCTTCTCCACCTTCTTCGCCGCCTTCTCCACCTTCTTCTCCGCCTTCTCCACCTGCTCCTCCGCCTTCTCCACCTCCTCCTTGGTGCCTGAGTCCTCCGCCTTCTCCAATCCGGCAACGGCTTTAACTTCCTGCTCCTGGGCAGCTTCTTGCTGCGCGATCGCAAGCTTCAGCTGCTGCAGGAGCAGGTCCTGCCCAGCTCGACTCACACGCCGAAGCAGCGCGCACGAACGCACGGCCTCTTTCAAGCCCTTTGAGGCTGCTTTGGCCTGTGTCACAAAGAATGCCACGACATGTGAACTCACCTTTTGGCAAAAGAAGCAAACAGTCCTGCCTCCTCCACAAACTCGCGCAGTTTTTGTTGCAACTCGTCTTTCAGCCCTGAAAGGGTCCACTTCCCTGGATATATCTTCTGCGCTTTTCCTGAGCTCAACATTTTCACCGCTCTTGCAACCCCGACCCACGTGCTGCTCCAGCGGCGCAAGACGGCTTTGGTCTCTTTCAGCGCGCCGTTGTCCTCCAGCACCCTGGCGGCTTCTGCGACCACCTGAGCGAGGCCAAGCTGGGACGTCGCTTTCTCTGAAGGCCCGCCGCCTCCTCGAGATCGAGCCGGTCCTGACAGCCAACAAGCCCAGCGTTCTGATGCACATGTCCCCCAGGCCTCGGCATTGTTGTCCTGGCAACTGCAATCGTCCAAACTTGCAAGCATTTTTTGGTCCGAAGGTCCTCTCGTGCAGCCCTGGCACGCAAGGCGACTCCAGCATGCAACCAGCGCTGGCTCGATGCCTCACTAAGCGCTCGCAGGATGCGAAAAGGGTCAATCTGCTTGCGTTAGTGGACAAGTCTGAAGACTGGGCCGGTGCGCCGTTGCGGTCCTCGCATCACGGCACAAGCAGGAACATTTGCAAAGAGGGACTTCACGGTCCTTCCGACCGGGAACTCCTCGCGAAAACTCGTGGGCGGCGGACAGGGACTCCTGAAGCCCGAACGAGTCAGCTGCCAACCCCTCAACGTTCCCAAGGCCCAGGCCGTGCTCGGCCACTGCAATGAGCAACGCCAGCGCATTCCCGAGCTGAGGCACGCACCTTGCAAAACCACACAACAAACAGCGCAGCATATCAGCTTGCGGGCCTTGGCTTTTTATCCTGGCCCTCATCACAGCCATGGCCATTCCTGAACTTCACGGGCCTGCAAGGCCAATCCTACCGCTGGATACGTCGGCAATGTTTGCCCAGTGCCTTCAAGCATTTGATGAGCACTCTTGGGCGGCGGACGACTTCTTGCGTGCCAACATGTCCTTGCTGCTTCGTGTCATGTTGGTCCGCTGTTCACGACCCTACGCGGTTTGTTTACTAGCACTCTGGTTGCCGCTGGCGCTGCTGGAGCCGTCAAAGACGCCACCTTGCCGATGCCCTCGCACTGGACTGACACTCAAAGCTCCTTTCGCTCCCCGAAAATCCAGGCAGAAAAACATCACAGCAAAACCGATATCTGGACCTGTGGCCAGAGACAATCCTGGCGGCAACACACAAAAAACAGCCAAGATGCCAGGAATCTAGTGTCCTCCTTCTTTGCCTCCTGGACCTCCTTCTTCGCCTCCTGGACCTCCTTCTTCGCCCTCTCCACCTTCCTTTCCGCCTTCTCCACCTCCTTCTTCGCCTCCTGGACCTCCTTCTTCCACCTTCCTCTCCGCCGCCTGCACCTTTTTCGCATCGCCCAATTCCTCCGCCCGAGCGAGACGCCTCACCGCCCTTGCTTCCTGCTCCTGGGCTGTCGCGACCTGCTCCTGGGCTGTCGCGACCTGCGCCTGGGCCGTCTTGACCTGCGCCTGGGCCGTCTCTTGCTCCTCCAGAGCAAATTGCAGCCGCTGCCGCGCCAGGAGCAGATCCTGCCCAGCAAGACTCACACGCCGAAGCAGCGCGAACAAAGAAACGGCCTTCTCCAAGGCCCTTTTGGCTGCTTTGGCGGAAAAAGAAAATGCCGCGAAATGTCGATTCTCACCTTTAGGCAAAGGAAGCAAACAGCCCTGCCTCTTCCACGAACTCGGCCCGCATTCTCTGGTCCGCCGCCTCCTCGAGATCGCGCCGGTCCTGACAACCAACAAGCCCAACGTTCAAGCCCGATGCACGTGTCCCCGGCCTCGTCACTGTTGTCCTGGCGGCAACCGGCAAAAGATGCGAACAGGCTTTGGGTCGGAGGAGTCCTCTTGCGCAGCCCCGGCGCGCCGAGCGACTCCGGCATGCAACGGGTGCCGTTTTGCCACCTGAGAGAGCAAAAGTGCAATCTGCTTGCGCCTGCGGGCAACTCTGAGAACTGGGCCGATATGCTGTCCTGGCACGGCAGCACGAAACAAGAACATCCAAAGGAGGGACATCATGGTCCTTCAGCCCAGGAGCTCCTTGAGCAAAGTCCTGGGCGGCGAAGGAGGGAGGGGGGAAAAGACCCCAACCCACCCCAACCCCCAATAAAAAACTCACTCACGACAAGCCAGTGGCTCGAAGGAAAGGAGTAAACGGCTATGTGCCATCCAGTCTAAGGCGCTTCTTGCGTTTGGTAAACTGCCACTTCCTCTGCGGCGTCGGAAGGTCAGGTTCGTCAAATTGAACATCAGTGTACTGAAAAGGTCCACTCGGCATCTCAAGTGGTTTGCAGGCGAGATCACCATCAAGTTTGGTACAATAGTCGATAACCCAGTTGACCGTCTCAGAAGCACGATCAATCTCAGGTCGAGAGACAAAAGTGCCACATTGTCTCAAGGGGTAGAAAATCTTCCTCTCCTTGAGGAAAACCTGTCTGGTATTGGGCAGGCTCCAGTTCCTGGTAACATCGTTCAACTGCTGCATGATCGTGGCAAGTGTCGTATATTGTTGCGATGCAGCTTTCGCAGAGTAGGGCAACATCTGAGTCTCAGCAGAGTCATAGTCCCTGAAAGACGTCAGCGTCGCTTTTCGATTGAAATGAAACACAACCGGGAGGCGCATACCAGAAAACAGGTAGAAGTTAGCGAGCAGCTCAAGGTATGTGATCCCAACATCATCCTGCTGCGTGCTTCCTTGTTGTGGCCAACGAATCGTGTGCATCCAATACCACACAGCCCGCGCGATTTTCTGCCCCGCCGGGATAGCTCTGAAAAGATCATCCTCCGGTGTATAAAAAGGGATTAAAAGAGAGTCAACAACCTTCCAGTTGCCAAGGAGCTTTTGCACCTGTTTAAATCGACTCACAGCAGCATGAGTAGAGCCAGAAACAAAGTCAGCAGCCCCTTCAATCTTGTCATCCTCCGGAATGTCCCTCCTCCAGTTGACTGACCATCTGTCCAGTTCGACGAAATACGCAAACAACTTAGTAAGTCTGGCAATCCAGCCAACAAATTCTTGCCGCACCTCATGTACAGCAACATGCATCTCGGGCGAGTCATTGACGAGGGCAGCCCCCGCAAGCTTGTCAGCCGTAGCATTCCCAATGATGCGCCAAGCATCAACCGGGCATGAAGCTTCACTAATTTCGCGGTGGGCTTTAACCCACGTCCATGTGACCCGGCCAGACGGCCAGGTCGAAAACAAATGCAAAAGGAGATCGAAATTGTGGGCTCTCTTACCCTGCAGACATTCTGATTGCACCGCTTTCCACACCATATCAAGACAAGCACAGACATACCGAGAGTCTGTGTGAATGCGGATATTGCCTTTGTAATCCAGATCTTGAACAGAATTAAAAATTGCCACAATACAAGACAACTCTCCTCTGTCGATCGTCTGATGCCCATGTACAAAGCCACACCCTGAGCAACGAAACCGCTCATAAAAAGGAACATCAGGGCGATCCAAAGTGAACTGTCGCCCAATTTCTTCATCAGTGACATCAATGGCTTGCACAACGGCCCACGAAGCTCTACGGCAAAGTGGGATAGTGGGATCCGTGCAAGATCCATCAGTGAAAAAGACAAGCTCATCTCGCACCGGGACACCAATTTGGATAGTATGCCTCCCCTGTTGGTCTCCCAACATCTTCTGTAGGATATACCCACCAGCAGAGACAGGGGGCATGGGGAAGATTCTGAAAGCCTCTGTCAAGAGACGGCAAGGTGACGTCCCGTGGGACGCTGTGCACCGAACCCTCAAGCTTTAATACCAACCACGTAGAAAGGTGTATACGGACGATGCCGTTATAGCCGAACCCGTGTAAACGTTGTAAGGAAGAAGGAATGATAGTTACGACAGTGGTCCTGACGAATGCAGCGCAAGCAGTTGTTTTGCTCTTAATGCCCGTCACGTATGTGCGCAGTCACACATCAGATCTTGAACCTCAATTGTGTCTTGAGCCAAATGGCGATCAATGGAACTTGGGAAGCAACACCAACAAGGACCTCAGAACAGCTACCCAATTTCGGCACGGGGCCTAGAGGGTTTTAACATCCCCCATTTGGGTCGCATTGTTCATCATGCGGTCCAAACACCACAAAACGTTCCACTGGCCACGGCTTCAACTACGAAATCGTGTCGTGCATTCTTTTACTTGCTATCACTACACCGTTCATTCGCTGTGAAACATGCCGGGTTCGATTGTACGAAAAGTGAAACATTCATCCTCCAATCGAAGCACACATCCATATGCAGGTGTATATAATACACTGTGGCCACTTCACTTGACCGCCAGTGAAGGGTTGGCGGTCACCTGCCATCCGCATCCTCTCATGCACACCCAATCATATAGCGACATCCAGATGTGCACCGACATTGGCGAGTCATCCATGTCTCGCCTCCGCCGTTCAGCGATGAGCTTATCCAGCTTCTGCAATCGGGAGATGATATTCAACGTGTCGTTGGGTGAGGAGACTTGCTCACTCGACCCATAGTATGATCTCTCCTCGATGTTTGTCCATCCCTGTTCGTTGACCATCATCTGGAAGGTCTTCGTGCTCCCTTTCGAGTTGACGGCCCTCAGGGGCCAATCCAGGACCAAGAAGCTCTTCTTGTGGATCATCATGTCGCGAATCGTCGCCTCGCCAATGGGGCTCCTCTTCTGCCTATTGATAATCCGGTTCAACTGTCCAGGTGCGTTGTCCGGGTTCTTCTCCGCCTGAATCAACGCGTTGATGGCTTTGGCGCCCGGAAGGCGTCCAGTAATCAAGCATCCTGTTTGGGCACACAAGAAAGCATACAGCTGTAGCCATGCCGCATTTCCCTTCCCAACATAGGAAAGAATGATCTTCTCCGCGCTGGTCTTCTCCTCGAAGTGCAATAGCGAAGAGGTCAGGCATCTCAGCATACACTCCCAATATGTTGCGTTCTTGCCTTCTGCAAGACACGGCCCAAATACAGTTTGTATGATTGGGTACCCCGTATTGTTGTCTATGTTGAATTTCACATTGACAGTCGCGCCGCCCAAAGTGGTACCCCCTTCGAATGAAGTGTAGGTATCGTGTCCAGCAGTTGGGTTGATAATTACCCATCTGTCGTCGTCACCGCCAGAGTTCATTCGAAAAATGGAGTCGATGATCTCGTTGTCGATCTTGACAGCATCGCTGGCTTGCGACCCCCCACTTGGAGCTCCCGGCTGGGGGACTGGCCCACCAGCGGTTTGACTCCTTTGTCCGGAGCTTGATGCCGACTTCTGCTGTCGCTCCGTCTTCCGTGGCGGCTCCGTCTTCGATGAGCCCATCACCCACCATGTCGGCTCTTCCCCAACCACGAAATCCTCGGGGTACTTCTCCAGTTCCCTCTCGATTTCGTGAATCGTGCAGTATTTATTCTGGAAGAATTCGATCATGACGTCCTTCTCGGCCTTCTTCTCGATCTCCTTCATCCAGCTTACCCACTTGCGCCGATCTTGGTTCTCAGCGGCCCTGTCAGCCGCGTGCGGTGCCAAACTGATGGAGTTGATGTTCATCGCAGGCAGCTTCGACTCATAGATCATATCGATGCACCATAGGAAATCCCTGGCGTACTCAATCTCCCGGTAGAGATCGTTCAGCTCCCTTTTGTCTGGACGGAAATAAGCTGTATACGACTGATCTTTGGAGTCCTTCTCACCGAGCAATGGCTGCAATCTCCTCATGATGAACGAGACGCACATGAGCGAATTGACCGCCCCGATGCACGCGTCAGAGATGTCACTGGGGGTTGACCCACAGATCATCCAGCGCAATAGGTTGTTCTGGCTGGCATTCTCATCCCTCCTCAGTGCATATGCGAGGTTCTTCATCGATGCCTGCAGCTCATTCTGGTAGATCAACCCAAGGTCCCAATTCTTCTGGTAGTCGTCCTTGGAACCACGACCGTAGGAGTCGATCTTGGGAGCCTTGATCACGCTCAACGTGAACACTTTCCCCCAGTTTCGATCTCTGTATCTTGCGATTCTCCGGTCGTGCCTCTCAAACTCTGCAGTTGTCTGGAACTCCTCAGAGCTCCTCCACCTTCTCGATGACGATGCCCTAGATGACTCGTCGTTGATGAATTCTTTGTACACCTCCCCAACCGGGGTGTTCTGGTGGAATGCTGCTTTGAACGACCGTTCATCGTTGTCCTCGGCCACGCCTAGTGCGAGATCCCAGATGTTCGCGATTGATCTCAACATATCCGCCCCTTCCATGCAGTACTTGGTTACGTTGAGCAACTCGGGGTTCTTCGCCAGCATCGTTGCCTCACCGCAAAGTTGGTTCAGCGCCGACACGATCTTCTTTCCCTTGCTGCAGAATTCCCTCCATCCAAGCATACATTCGTCGGCAGAAAGCTGTCCGAAAACTTTGCTGATGAACTCTAAGGCAACCCTCATAGACTGCCCTTCACCTTTCATCATCCCGCGGCCCTTGGCAGAGTAGTACGCTGAGTATGCATAAATAGCGGGGACGCCGATGTCCTCGATCCACTTCACGCACATACCCAGGTCGCTGCTCACCTCCATCCTCTTGGGCATCCTCTTGCCATCCTCGATGGCGTTCTTCACCAAATTTCCCAAGAAGATTGCTGCTTGCCTAGATTTCCCAACAGGCACGCAGAAGAACTCATTCGTATTGACGACATTCGGATTGGCAGTCATCTTGATGATATTCTCCAGAACCAGGAAAACCCAAAATAAGCAGCTGCAAATGAAGCCACGGAATTGTCCCAATATGATCCCAGCTTCAGATTGAGGTGACGAACTCGTCCAGCTCCTCCTTGAAGCCTGGGGTTCGGGACTGACCCAGCTCCCCGTATGCACCAGAGGTTCGGGACTGGCCCAGCACCTCGGTTGTGCAGTTGGGGTGGTGCAGATTTCGCTCGC